GCCGAAGTTGACCCAAGTACAGCCGATGTTCTGGCCATGTCAGATCGAAATGATGCATTTGGACGATTTTGGGCCAATTGCAAAATGCGCAAATTTCCACAGTGGGCCCGTTCGTATTAGAAACTACCACGCCTCGGCACCTTCGGTGCAGGCGGATGTTTTGGGTGTTTAAGCATGTATAGTATAGCTGCATGATGGTTTAACAGATTTGTCGTATTTTCAATTTTAGAAATAGGACGGTGATCCCCAATGAAGAACAGTTAAATTTGTTTTGATATGGTATGTGTTGAAGCTACCAATCAGATAGGGTAAGGGCTAGTATTAAGTTCTGACTGCAAGGCCAGGTGCAAGCACATAATATGTCCTACTGAACATTCATTGTTCTTGGTTTTAGGGTATCTAAAGTTCTCCACGGCTGCAACCTACTCTCAAGTAATCGCCATATGGATTGGTCATCCAGTGTTGTTTAATACGTTGGTGGTTGAATGTTTAGGTACCATGGATACCATGGGTCATCTGTATAGGAATCTAACATCCCACTTGTTTGCAGGGTACCTAGTGTTCGCCATATAAAAGCATATAAGTGGACAAGAGTTGAGGTGACATCCTTCTTTCTAGCTGAAGCAGGCTTAAATAAGTAGACTATGGTTCCATGGAGAGGGAGAGATTATAGAATTCCCAGAAGTGGTTTAAGGGACATTTTGCAAAATTTGTTTCCTTGTCTTTGGTTTCAAACAGGGCGTATGTTCCCCCCAAAAGAAGCAGATAAGCAGGATGATGATGTTTTTGACGGCCAGGGTGGCCAAAAAAAAGACAAGATTTGCCACCGGAGTCATGATGGGTTCTAAAGCTCCCAGGTTATCATGGCAATATCATCATGTAATATCCTTGCTACTACAAATGGATAAATCATGTTGCGACCTCACTGCAACGTCGTTGGCATGATGGTTGGGATTGGGGTAGCGGTCCCAAAATAGTGCGACATTTTAGGCTGGTGATTTACGTTAATAAATACCATTAAATACCACCAGCAAACCATAAATCCTACTGTATATATATATAAAGATATATAATATACACATCTTCATCATGTGTAACCATGGTCATGACATAATGTATCCAGATATCATGGAAATCCCGGGAAACCCAAATCGTCTAGACGCCATGGCAGGTCTCCTCTAGTGCTTCGCCGGACCACGACTCCGGCACGGGCAGCTCAGGAGCGAGAATATGTCCGGTTTCATAAGGTGGATTCGCGAACAGAAAGGGAGTGGAAACAGGCCACAAAATCACACAAAAATTAGGCTTACAATAAATGGTCTCTTTTTCGAGGGTTGAATAGGAACTAAACTAAATAATTGTACTGGTTGAATCAAAGGGTTGAAGTACGGGTATATTATGGGTAACTACATATTGGATAATAGTCTGTGGTTTAGTGGTTTTATTTGGTTTATTCTCGATGATAGCTAGTTGGGATGATCCCCAGTTGATTGCTTTCAGGGAGTCAAAGCCACCCACCAGCTTCTCCGCCCCAAAGGTGGGATAGAAAAAGGATGGAAAGCCATGCCATGTAGGGCCTCGAAGTTGTGCAAAAATGGGGAGGGCTCAGCTGAGTTGTTCCATGATCTTGTTGTCCATCCTTACATGGGATGATGACCCCCCAAGATCAAGCTAGTTTTTGGGGATTGAAGCTAAGACAGAGAGGGAGGCGGCAGGATCGTCAAGTATGGGTATATGTAGATATTCGGGTCGCCTGACAGTCCATCACTGGCGGGGGTTTTGCTCACCAGAAGTCTGACATGGAACCCGCATAATCATTCAAAACTCAATGTTTCAGCTGGTTGGCCACTGATTATATATCGGTACGCCATACATGTAGAAATAAACAGTCTAGGCTTGGCCATGGCTAGGCTGACCCTGGATGCTGAGGCTTTGCTGTTCCCTTCCAGACCGATGACCGGTATGGCCACCCAGGAGTCAGCGGGTAAAACAAGTCAATGGTGGGTCCACTAAAAGGCTTAGCACTAGCACTAGCACTAGCACTAGCACTAGCACTACTACTACTACTACTACTACTACTACTACTGCTAGTACTACTACTACTACTGCTAGTACTACTACTACTACTACTACTACTACTACCTCTACTACTACTACTACTACTACTACTACTACTACTACTACTAGTACTTGTTGCAAATGGTATTTTTGATATGCACAAAACCGGAGAATCAGTGGATTACCGGATTGCAGCCTGGAGGTTTCCAAAGTCATGGGGTACCCCCCAAATCATCCAAGTCATGGATGACCAGAAGCCTCAGGGTGCAATGGCTGGAAGCCTCAGGTGGGTGTGCATCCCCTCGGGCATCGTCGAGCGGCATAAGGCTCATGGGATGGCTGAACTTTTTGAGATTTTCGCCATTTCAAATAGGTAGATCATCATAATTCAATTTAAGTCATTTACACGCGGATACATCCGCTATTTTCTGTAGCTATGTTAATCTACCGGAGGATCTTTGAGCCAACAATGACCAAATGTCATTTGCCAAATGACCGATGATGGATCAATAAATGGTCAACCAATAGAGTATTGATCACTCTAGTGGTTGGCGAGGATGTATATTATCCAACTATTATAAACCAACTAATGTGGGAAACCCCATGCCATAAACCATCATAGACCTACCAAACTTGGGGATAGCTAACAAACCATCCAAAAAATGGTGATGACTTGGGGATGGTTTTTGTCATTGGGTTTACCACATTAAGCATTATTAGTAATTAGCCAATTGTTGTCACATCATTTAACCAGTGTTAGCACAACATTAACCATCACTATCCCATTATTATCCTTTCTTAACCATCACTATCCCACTATAACCCGTTATTTACCACTAGGCTGTTCACTTGTTACTAACCATGATTATCCATAGTGCATCCAAGATTCCCCTTGGATCGTTCCATCCTTCTGCCAGGCCCAGTTTGAGACACCAGCGAGTGGAGATGATCACGTGCGGACGCTCAGCACTGCGGAAATCAGGAACATTCGCCATGAAACGGGAGTGGGTGAATCCCGAAAAGTGGATGGCACGTTTTTGTTTTTATCATTGTTATTCTTACTGCTTGTTTTTTATTATTGAGTTATTTTTATTACTTAATTATTTTCATTGGTATAGTATTTACCAAAAAGGCGCCAAAAAATGTGGGTCCATGAGTGCCCCAGCCCCATATCCAAAGATGGGGATGGTAGACAATGTGGATATATAATGTTATCAATTTATCTATGCAGTCCGGTGGTACGAGACTAGTTTGTCCACTTTTCTTTCCTGTCGGCGTGGATTGCACGGGGAAACGAGCCCAGTTGACTTGTATTTTGGGGACGTTGCAGCAACCGAAGACATGTACGATAAGCCAAAATAACCCAATGGGGAGAGCAAATGCCAAGTGCAGAACCCGAGTTCAAAAAAGTTGCGCATGTATTATGAGGGCCGAGGGCGAGGCAACAATTCAAACGGTTTGATCTTGGCCTTTTTGGAGCCAGATTCGCTGGTGAACCCGGATCGTTCAGTTTGGAACATATCACCCAGAATGTGCAAGATACAAACACTGAAGGCTGGTGATTCACTCGGCCGGCTTGTTGTATCAATGGTTCTCTTCCATGCCACTTTGACACCTGAACTTCAGGTGGTTCAAATTTCCCACGGAATTCAAAACTTGTCCATTCCTGTGTGATATGTCTTGTTTCTTGCACATCGGTGCTAGCCATTACTTTCAAAAAAACTGTTCAATCTTCGATCCATTCTTGATCCGACATGGCTGACATATGCTTGAACATGCTTGAACATTTTAGGATGATGGGGCCCGGGTGGAAAGTCAAAAAGTTGAAAGCACCAATCAGAATCACAGTTCACCACCCCTGGCAACACCAGGAGCACGGCGGAAACGCCCAGGTGCAGGTGTGCCTCTTTCACCGTCTTGGGAATAAATAGGAAACTTAGAGAGGAGCCTGGATGTTGCTGGAAGGTGAAAAAAGAAAGAATATATAGGAACATGGCATCTGATATCGTCTGATCGAATTGTGGCCATCAAGATCTGCGGATAGCATCATCTCCTCAGGTGCCGTTTAGCTATGTTTAGCTACCTATAGCTACCTCAGGGAAAATTTCAAAAGTACATCACGTCAGTGTCACCGACCCCGGCAGGCTGGCCAGCATGCGGTGTGTGAGGAGGGTCGTCGTTAAGCGCTGACGCAAAAAGCTGTTGCATCCCACTGACTCCCAGCAAGTGATGCTTGGGCCTACGGAAGAAACGTCTCGAACCGTAGATATGGTAGGAGGCAGGGATTGCACTTTCAGTGTGCCCTATGACTTGGCTCACACCATCCCATACCCTTTCCAGGTGGTTCTGAAATTTAACGGAGCAATTTAATGAGGTCTTCCAAATCTGCAGGAAGCTAGGATTGCCCTACACAGGCTAGCAGGGAGGACCATTGGAGTGGCAGCATGATGGTGCAAAGAGCAATTGCTTCCAACCCAGTGAAAGGCACCCCTTTCAGTATCGTGAACTGATGGATACATGACATGGGTGTTAATTTAACAGTCATCAGACTTACCCTGTGCTAATCAAACATGGCAGTTGAAAAATCCACCCTTTATAGATGATTTTCCGATTTAAACTTCCATTTGCATGGGATATTCCATTGCCACGTGTGGTTACCAGAGGGTGGCGGCAATGACTAGTTCGAAATACTGATTCGTTGCCTATCCACATGGTAGTTTTTAGTCTAGAAGTGGCGGTGCCTCCAGAAGAAAGTCGCAGTCTACTGCTGGCACTTTGAACGCTGCCTTCACTTTTGTTCCCTTCAGATGCTGGCTAGTACTACTTGAGATCGGCTTGTGGCTGGTTTGGTATGGTTGGTTAGACTGGTTTGTCCCTTGCATTTATGGCAAGTAAATTGTATTGCCAAAGGATGTTGATTGAAAGGGTGACCGGGTCACACTGACATGGACTGATGCCTAGTTGTCAGGCACTCTCGCAGCACATTTTCTAACAATGCTGGAACATCCAACGGCGGACGGTTTTGTCCGTGAATGTGGCATCCTTGTGGTAAGAAGCGTTGGCGTACAGCTGTGAGTCATTGAGTCGAAGTTATGTTGGCCCCAATTTAGACTGTGCGGGGTGCAGTGTTGCTGCGGGTGACCGAATTGATGGGCCTGTTGGTGCCCCGTACCCGTCTTGGCCAACAATTTGCGGGACAAAGACGCGGCCAGTGCTATGGGCCCAACAGCCCAGTGGAACATGGTTACTTGACTACCAGAAAAAGTATGGTAGGTGGTAGCAGGGCCTAGTCAAGGCCACATCAAGGCCCACACACTTTTGAACCCATTCTCATGGGTTTTGCCGGCATAACTTATGTACAATCTGCCTGTTTAAGCAAATATCATCAATGACATATCATGACATAGATACCCTCTTGTAATAGCTGTAATCATACATGGCTTGCCGGAAAATTCCACCTCTTGTATTCGATCATCTGCCAGCCATGGCCATGCCAATGCCATGGACGCGGTCTTTGCTGCTGGAAAGTTCAAAGGTCGATGGTACAGCGATGTCGCGGGTGACCTGGCTGCCAAGTTATTCGCAATGTTTCCAAAAGTGGTAAAATGCGTCTTTTTCCACCAATATATATTCATAATTGAAAAACATTAAGCTGAATGCACATAAATCCTGTAGCCTTCAGTATGAAATATTGTCATTTGAAATCCCAAGAGTTACCCTACTAGATTCTACTAGTTTCCTCAAGGTTTGTTGTGCACTTGCACCATTTGGGCAGCCGCTACGGCAGGTAGCGAGACGGCCTTTTGCACTTGGGCGAAGAAGCAGAAGTCCCCTCCAGGCGCTCGGGCCATGACCAGGTGGTGGCCCCCAGGTCCAAGTTGGTTGATTGTGTTGGTTGGTGAATATCATATGATAGAACATAACATAACAGAATACAATAGAATTAAAAAACCCTCAAGATAATATAACAAAGATAAAAATAGTCTATTTTATCGTAATATAACATAATAAAATCTAATATCTTGTTTTGCAACATAATGCAAAATTTTGTTTGTAAAATAACATAATATATAATGATTCTATTTATGTAACGTAAATTTTATAATTAAATCTGAGATAATAACATAATACAATCTAATGTAATATAAAATAACATATAGTTTCATGTAACATAACAAATTTTAATGCAATTATATATTATCATATAATATTGTATTATCGAAGGAAGTTTAGAAGTCAAACTTCCGACAATATGGACAGATGAAAAGCAGAGATGGGAAGAGAAGAGAAGAAGAAAGAAGATCAAAAAAGAGAAAGTCTCAGAAGAAAGAAGATCCAGGTGCGCGAAAAGAGGAAAGTCGCGAAACACTGCGTTTTTCCAATGATTTGTGGCTCCAGAGGGTCGAAAAGTAGGCTCGCTAAGGCGGCGGGTGCGGAGCCAGCTGGCCAGATGAGAGATGAAAAATTGCACGCCGTTGTGGCGCGAAGCACATTTGCAAGTCAAAATGTACAAAACACACCAGGTTCGGATAACTTTTGGATGTTGAGATGTCGAAAAAGTGCACGCGGTTGTGGCGCGAAGCACATTTCGAAGTCAAAATGTACAAAGCACACCAGGTTCGGACCACTTTTGGAAGTTGCGATGCCGAAAAAGTGCACGCCGTTGTGGCGCGAAGCACATTTCGAAGTCAAAATGTACAAAGCACACCAGCTTCGGACCACTTTTGGAAGTTGCGATGTCGAAAAAGTGCACACCGTTGTGGCGCGAAACACATTTCTATTTAAAGATGTTAAATACACCACATGCTCAGATCACTTTTGGACGTTCAGATGTCGTTTTGCGTGGCAGGCGCAAGGGATTATGCACCTTGTAAAAAGTGAGCAAAACGTGTGGGTTTTGTCGCATTTCCAAAAATGATGGCAGGCGTGGGATATTGGAAGAGCATCTGCAAAGATACATTTTCGTGGCAGGCGCAGTACAAGAGACATGTTCATCAGAGATGTTAGGAGGTCTGGGCGCTGATTTCCTGAGAAGGGTTACATTTTGGAGCATCAGATCTTCAGTTTTGGGAAGATGATTTTGCGTGACAGGTGCAGCACTTCATATGACCTGGCCTCACTTTTTCGTGGCAGGCGCAGTACTTTAGACAGGTGGAGTGCAAACATTGCAAAACGCATTGGTACGAGGCCGTCAGCTCTGCACTCAACTTTCCATTTTTGAAGGAAGTCTCGCAGTATTGTTTCGTTTTTGATGTTGTCAACCTCGAAAATTGAGGAAGTCTCGCAGAATTGTTTGTTTCGCTTTTGATGTTGTCAAGTTCAAAATTGAGGAAGTCTCGCAAAAAAGCTGCGTTTTCAAGCTTGCAGATAGACAGATAGATAGATAGATAGATTAGGTAGGTAGACAGACAGGCACAACCACAACAACAACAACAACTACTACTACTACTGCTACTACTACTACTACGACGACGACGACTACTACTACTACTACTACCACTACCACCACCCCCACCACCACCACCACCACTACTACTACTACCACTACTACTACTACTACCACTACCACCACCACTACCACCACTACCACCACTACCACCACTACCACCACTACCACTACTACCACTACTACCACTACTACCACTACTACCACTACTACCACTACTACCACTACTACCACTACTACCACTACTACCACTACTACCACTACTACCACTACTACCACTACTACCACTACTACCACTACCACCACTACCACCACTACCACTACCACTACCACTACCACTACCACTACCACTACCACTACCACTACCCCACTACCACTACCACTACCACTACCACTACTACTACTACTACCACCACCACCAAATCTACAACTACAATTACAACTACACTACATCACACTGCACTACACTAATTGCACTGCAGCACACTACAACTACAAATATACATGCAACTACAGCTGCTACACTACATTACACCACACTACGCAACACTACACTACACTACACTAACTACATTATATTACACTACATCTACAACTGCAACTACAATTACAACTACCACTACATTGCGCTACGCTACACTACACTAATTACAATACACTACAACTACAACACACTACTTTACACTACACTAGACTACACTACACTATACCACACTCCAGTACACAACACTACAGAACACGACAATACACTACAATATACTACACTAATTACACCACACCACAGCTACAACTGCAACTTCAACTGAAACTACACTACACTAATTACATCACATTAGAACTACAACTTACAACCACAACTCCACTACACTACACTACAACTACAGCTACAACTGAGCTACACGACACTACATCCAACAGTTGTGGTGAGGTGACCACTGCAACCATTGCAACCACTCCAAAAAACACAACTCCAACCACCTTTCGGTCCATCAGTGGATTCGCCCTGCCATCCGTGAGTCACAACAACCAACCTCTCCTATAGGTTTCTTATTTTCGAAACTTCCGCCACCGCCTTGTGCGGTACTACTGGTTTTATCAAAGAAAGTTGGGAAGCAATCTTCCGAGTTGCGGATGAAGTGTAGTGCAGTAGCAGTACATCACACAACAATACATCACATAACAATAATGTTGGCCCCTGATTAGTAGCTAGGCACACTATTGTGGAAAATGTTCTCCAAATTATTCTGAAACCCATGCATTGTTTGGAGGGTTCACTTTTGTGGCCAAAAAAATGGGAGAGTTTTTTTTTGAAAAAAACAAGCTGTAATTATTGAGAGGAAGACTTTTTTTCAAAAGCAATTGCCAAATTCAAACTCCAAGCCTTTCCCAAAGGGGCAAATCCCTTATTAAACCCTTATTAAAGAACAGCTTTTCCACAATTTTCCAAGGCCCTGGACCAGGAGAGGCTCCATTTCACTTTAGTAGGTTTGTTTGCTGGGTTCACTATTGCAGCAAGCTGTGCCAGAGCAGCCCCTGGAAGCCCAGAAGGGAAGCAAGCCTGTTCCAAAATTGCCAAATTCAAACTCCAAGCCTTTCCCAAAAGAACCAATCCCTTATTAAACCCTTATTAAAGAACAGCTTTTCCACAATTTTCCAAGGCCCTGGACCAGGAGAGGCTCCATTTCACTTTAGTAGGTTTGTTTGCTGGGTTCGCTATTGCAGCAAGCTGTGCCAGAGCAGCCCCTGGAAGCCCAGAAGGGAAGCAAGCCTTTTCCAAAGGCAATTGCCAAATTCAAACTCCAAGCCTTTCCCAAAGGAGCCAATCCTTTATTAAACCCTTATTAAAGAACAGCTTTTCCACAATTTTCCAAGGCCCTGGACCAGGAGAGGCTCCATTTCACTTTGGTAGGTTTGTTTGCTGGGTTCACTATTGTGGCAAGCTGTGCCAGAGCAGCTCCTGGAAGCCCAAAAGAGCAGCAAGCCTTTTCCAAAAGCAATTGCCAAATTCAAACTCCAAGCCTTCCCCAAAGGAGCAAATCCATTATTAAACCCTTATTAAAGAACCGCTTTTCCACAATTTTCCAAGGCCCTGGACCCGGAGAGGCTCCATTTCACTTTAGTAGGTTTGTTTGCTGGGTTCACTATTGTAGCAAGCTGTGCCAGAGCAGCTCCTGTAAGCCCAACAGAGAAACAAGCCTTTTCCAAAAGCAATTGCCAAATTCAAACCCCAAGCCTTTCCCAAAGGGGCAAATCCCTTATTAAACCCTTATTAAAGAACAGCTTTTCCACAATTTTCCAAGGCCCTGGACCAGGAGAGGCTCCATTTCACTTTAGTAGGTTTGTTTGCTGGGTTCATTATTGTGGCAAGCTGTGCCAGAGCAGCTCCTGCAAGCCCAAAAGAGCAGCAAGCCTTTTCCAAAAGCAATTGCCAAATTCAAACTCCAAGCCTTTCCCAAAGGGGCAAATCCCTTATTAAACCCTTATTAAAGAACAGCTTTTCCACGATTTTCCAAGGCCCTGGGCCCGGAGAGGCTCCATTTCACTTTAGTAGGTTTGTTTGCTGGGTTCACTATTGTGGCAAGCTGTGCCAGAGCAGCTCCTGTAAGCCCAAAAGAGAAGCAAGCCTTTTCCAAAAGCAATTGCCAAATTCAAACTCCAAGCCTTTCCCAAAGGGGCAAATCCCTTATTAAACCCTTATTAAAGAACAGCTTTTCCACAATTTTCCAAGGCCCTGGACCAGGAGAGGCTCCATTTCACTTTAGTAGGTTTGTTTGCTGGGTTCACTATTGTAGCAAGCTGTGCCAGAGCAGCTCCTGTAAGCCCAACAGAGAAGCAAGCCTTTTCCAAAAGCAATTGCCAAATTCAAACCCCAAGCCTTTCCCAAAGGGGCAAATCCCTTATTAAACCCTTATTAAAGAACAGCTTTTCCACAATTTTCCAAGGCCCTGGACCAGGAGAGGCTCCATTTCACTTTGGTAGGTTTGTTTGCTGGGTTCACTATTGTGGCAAGCTGTGCCAGAGCAGCTCCTGGAAGCCCAAAAGAGCAGCAAGCCTTTTCCAAAAGCAATTGCCAAATTCAAACTCCAAGCCTTCCTCAAAGGAGCAAATCCATTATTAAACCCTTATTAAAGAACCGCTTTTCCACAATTTTCCAAGGCCCTGGACCAGGAGAGGCTCCATTTCACTTTAGTAGGTTTGTTTGCTGGGTTCACTATTGTAGCAAGCTGTGCCAGAGCAGCTCCTGTAAGCCCAAAAGAGAAGCAAGCCTTTTCCAAAAGCAATTGCCAAATTCAAACCCCAAGCCTTTCCCAAAGGGGCAAATCCCTTATTAAACCCTTATTAAAGAACAGCTTTTCCACAATTTTCCAAGGCCCTGGACCAGGAGAGGCTCCATTTCACTTTAGTAGGTTTGTTTGCTGGGTTCACTATTGTGGCAAGCTGTGCCAGAGCAGCTCCTGTAAGCCCAAAAGAGAAGCAAGCCTTTTCCAAAAGCAATTGCCAAATTCAAACCCCAAGCCTTTCCCAAAGGGGCAAATCCCTTATTAAACCCTTATTAAAGAACAGCTTTTCCTCAATTTTCCAAGGCCCTGGACCCGGAGAGGCTCCATTTCACTTTAGTAGGTTTGCTTGCTGGGCTCACTATTGTAGCAAGCTGTGCAAGCTGTGGGTACTACAAGTACTACAAGTACTACAGGTACTACAAGTACTACAAGTACTACAGGTACTACAGGTACTACAAGTACTACAAGTACTACAAGTACAACAGGTACTACAAGTACAACAAGTACTACAGGTACTACAACTGCAAGTACTACAAGTACTACAAGTGCTACCAGTACTACAAGTACTGCAAGTACTACAGGTACTACAAGTACTACAGGTACTACAAGTACTACAAGTACTACAGGTACTACAAATACTGCAAGTACTACAAGTGCTACAAGTACTACAGGTACTACAAGTACTACAAGTACTACAGGTACTACAAGTACTACACGTACTACAAGTACTAGAAGTACTACAAGTACTACAGGTACTGCCAGTACTACAAGTACTACAAGTACCAGAAGTTCATCGGCAAAAAACAGTTTTAATTAGATTTCAATAGTAGCCAATTGAAATCATTACTTAAGTGAGATTTGCTTTTCTCTTGGGAAGAAAATTTTTGACTTTCCACCTTAAAGAGAGTCCAAATATTGTTTGGGGGGAGGGGGGGGGGCCTCACACTAATCAGGAACCAACATTACATCACATGTCTATGCGCCTGTGGAATCCCTGGTTGCAGATCGCATTGTAATGGCTGCATGAATGTTGCATGGGGCTTCTGTTGGCAGGAAACCTTGTGTTTTTCCGTGTAGGGTGGCTGCAGGCGGCTACCTACTCAGGGTATCAATTTACATTTTGCTTCATCTAATGATTTCATTTCCATTTTGGACCATCTGTGTGAACTTCAACAGCTTCTCCTTCAGAAAAGAAATGGATGCTCCTACTGCGAATGCTAACAACATGACTGAACTTGAGTTTTTACACCGCAAAAAACATATTTGGAGTTCTTTGAAACGAGCAACTGGTTCGCCCAAAGCGGAATTGGTGGCTATCCGTGGCCCGGGCGGTGATGCTACGCTGGAATCTGGTGAAATGGCTGAACTGCTGAGCAATCATTGGCAGCACGTCTTCGACCCAAAACACTCGCAAGCAAATGCCAGACAAAACTGGTTTGATCATATTCACTATGATGTCAACCTGGCTGCTCTTTCTCTGCCTCCCAGCAAAGATTGCGTGGCCACAGTCCTCAAAAACCTTCCTATTTCTGCTGCTGGCCCTGACGGGATACCTTTTGGGCTCTACGCTGCCCTCAAAGACCTTGCTCTTCCTATTTTTGTTCACTGTTTGCAGCTTTATTTGACCGCTCAAGTGAAGCACCTCCTGCCTTCAATCATGCTTTTCTCATTGTTTGCCTAAGAAACCTGGCACTGATATGGACAATGGAGTCTATGCACGCTGGCCTGGTGATACTAGACCATTGTCCATTGTGGATGCTTCAAACCGTATCCTCGCAGTTTGTATATTGAAATATTTGGAGGCTATTTTACCGCCGCACATTTGCGATGCGCAACGTTGTTTTCTGAAACACAGACACATTTCAAAACATCGTGGAACTTGATCACTGTGCACTTCGGGCAAGTTCGCTGCACACTCAAGCGGCTATCTTGTTGTTTGATTTCCGTGCTGCTTTTCCTTCTCTTTGTCAGGATTTCGTTTTGTCATTGGGGGTTCCCTGCAGAAGTTCTTCATGCAATCCAGTGTTTTTATCAAGACAACAAACAATGGTTAAAGCATAATTACATGGGAAAACTGTCCCTTCTATTTGCTTACAAAGTGGTGTTCGTCAAGGTTGTCCGCTCAGCCCACTGCGATTTTTCCCTTGCTACCGACTCGCTGCTGCGTAAGTTGCAGAGTGTTATGCCAACTGAACTCGACATTGTTAGAGCATTTGCTGATGATATTGCCGCAATTTGTTCTGATTGGTGGAAATCCATCCCTTTCTTGAGTGTTTTGCTTGCTGAGTTTGAAGAAGTATCCCAAGCATTGAGCCTGAACATTGCGAAGACTGTATTTCGTTGCATTGCACCGGGGTCGCGCGCAGGTCATGTTCTTGGACAACAACAGCGCAACAGGTTCGCACAAAGCACCCGCGCACGGGCCTGGCTGGCGCACGGCGCATGCAAGTTCTATAGATGAGAAAGGTCTTATAGTATAACCCTAAGGCAACTTCCGCCCCGCCTCGTGCGGGTACTACTGGTAATATATAGTACAAACAGCCAGACACTTAGATGGTAATATTGGAAATAACATGAAATAAAAGAATCATGTGGTTTGTATCTACCATAATGGACCATATATACTGTAAACCAGGTTTAGAAACACCATTATCCACAGATATTTCTATCACACACCATAGTTAAACTGGCCAATGAGGAAAACTATGCCAAAAATGGGCCAACATGTTTGATTCGGAAATTAGTTTGCCAGAAGGGCCGTCAAAGGCCATAAATGTACTTTGCCCAGATCTGGTGACCCAAGATCTCATGGCATAGTTCATTGCCAAAAAGTTTCGATGATTTCGGATGGAATTTGACTTAGAAGCTGGGAGCCCTGTAGATGAGTGCATCTGACGATCTGTCGAGGTTACTTGCGCCCCTTCCTGGATTTCCTGAAAAATGGCAGGCGGGGAGATTGCGCCCTTCTCGCAAAAATTTGTGCAGATATTGATGACTTGCTGTTGGGTTTGTAAGTGACAATGTCTACAGGTTGATGACTTTGTCTTACCTACATGTGCTCCAAGTGTGGCACTGGTATTGGGTGCCCCTTGCTGAATCACAAGGACATTGTCTCCTTTTCCGCGGTGGCAACTGTTTTGCACACCTTGCCTGATATATATATATATCCCTGAAGGAAAAGAGAAAAAAGACATAGGAGAAGAAAAAGAGAAGTAGTGTTCAGTAGTGTTCGCAAATTCCGTGTGGGCTGGAAAATTCAAGATCAAATACCACAGACCTACCTGATTTCATCCGAATTAGTTGTTTTAAATTACACGAATGACATTTTGAGCAGATTTCCGGGTTTTTTTAAATGGGGGATACCCTAAACTATGAGTTTCAAAATCCATATCGTCATCCATGATTTGGATGATTTGGGGGTGCCACGTCCGTTTGGTGCTTCAAAAACAGTAACAACCCCCCCTTCATATCCAAGCGGTTTCCTGCAAATTTTCCAGGCGTGGACAGCAGTCCTTGGACACGGTGGTGGTGCGAAGTGCCAAGTCACGGCCGCAGGTGGGGGTGGTCAGGTGGATGTTTTCGGGGCCATTGGTGATGCTCGTTTTTTGTGATGTGAAAATAGAGAATAATAAGGGGCTTTAATAGAGGATCATTCTCCCACTGCATAGTTAGTCTCTATGATTCCATATTCTGCCATTGTTATAAGATGATATGTAAATATATATATATGTGTATATATATATGTATATATATATGTATTTATATATGTATATTACACGTATAATTCCACTTATATCAGATATTTCGGATGATAGGGGTGATGAAAGAATTAGCGACCATTTAGTGATGGCAAGCGGTTGGTTCGATCTGATTTTCCATCCATCCTGGGATGATGATCCCCATTATATAGCTATAGTTGGGTCGAAACTACCAATGAATAAATATGTCACTATGTAATACGCGGTTCTATGTTTGTCTATCGCGGGACCTAGTAATATGATGTATATGTTTGGAGTTTGAGATTTCGTATCGAACCTCATCCACCTAAGTCGTTCTAAGTACATATATATATATATATACACATATAGTAGAAGAGAACGATCCATTGATTTCTTGCTGTGCGCGTTCGTGGGTACGGTTTGTATCAATCATACCCCGTTTAATTTCACTGTGATCGGAAAATCTTTGTCAATCACCTTGATCCGCCTATTCAACAGATGACAAACGCAATGTGAGATGGCTTCACAAAGTTCAGAACGTTCAAGGATCACTTAGGATTACCAGATTTTTCCACTCTGATCAGCTGTGAGGTTCGCGACGAGACCACGGATCTTCGCAGCGACGGCGGTGGCATTCGCTTCGACTTCACCATGGACATCGAGGACCGATACCCGGGACCAGTGCGGCGCGAGGTCTATGGCACATCGGCTGGGGAATGGTAGGTGCATAGGCTGTTTGTTTTCTGGAATCAGAAGTAAAAAGATGTGGGAACCTTTGGGGAATGCCACCTGAATATTGTGCTCAAGTTTAGTTTGAAGCACTTGAAGCCATGTTTTGGCAGGCTGCTTTGCCAAGAACTATATTGAGAGCAAATGGCGATTCCAGTGCGGATGGCCATTCAAATGCTTCACCGTAAACCACCCTATCCGGCTATCTAGCTGGTGTTTTCGAATATAACTATGTTCTATAAGGGTTCGTGGTTCAACCATAAAATTTAAGATGATGAACCCCAATCATATGTATGTCAGATATATTATTGGGATGGCTCCTTAATCTACTAAATCATGAGTAGCAAGGAAATCACCACACGCATGGCACTTATATTGCTTCTGTTCGTATGTGGGTACGATGTTTATCCATAAACTTCATTGGATAGTTGTGGATAAACATCGTATTGGTTAGATTTGGTGAGGTATATTTGCTTAATCATCTCATCCTTGTTCAAACCTGCAGGTTGTGTCCCAGGAAGAGTTCGAGGTGGGTCCTGAGGACCAGAATGCAGAGGCTGGGTAGGAGGGGATGGGTCGTCAAAATCCAATGATTTGTTTGGTTTAAACCTTCCAACCCTGTATTTAGCTAGTTCAATTCCCTAAAACCTGCAAAACACCTGGGTTTTCACTTTCAACACCTTTCAACCATGGTTAACAATTGGTTAACATGTGAACACTTAACCAACATGCACCTTCCCATCCGCCCCACATCCGCGGAGGTGCCCCACCTGATGCGGCACGCCTTGGCGAGTCGCCCCGACGTCCGCTTCGCGGCGAAGGCGAATCATTGGCGCTTCGGAGCGCAGAGCTATGTGGATGTGCTGCGATGGCTGGAGCGAATGGGTTGGGAAAAACATGTTTTTTTCTATGATGGGGAAATCTTGGCAGAATCATGGGGAAAGATGGGAAAATCACGGAAAGCGGCTGCAGTGCTAATTATGTGGCTAGATATGGTTGGAGTTTTTTTTTTCCGAGGACATTTTCATGAACCACACATGGCAGTGCAGTGGTGGTTAACAGCTCGCTGTGTTGCCATAAAAGTGGGAACAGTTCACGGCTTCCTAGAATCAGCATTATTCGGGTTACATACTTCAAATCAACCATGGGAATGCAGGAATGACATTGCAGTACTGATGTGTTCTGACATGTATGAATGGCCCTTTTGCAATTCCTGTCCCCCAGATACGGTGCGTTTGGGCAATGGGAATTGGAGACAAGGGGGAACCACAAGGCAGTTCAGTGGTCGTATGCTTCAAATACAGAACCCCCCATCGTCCATATGCCACCGGCCCTTCTTCTGTTTCGGCGTCAGGAGTGGAACCCGAAGTTCCGCTTTCGCGTCAACCCGGTGCCCAACTGGGTCCTGAGACTTGGTTGATGGCTGTCCTAGTCACTAGTCCTGGGTGATGTTGGGTGATGGTAGGTGATGGTAAGGGATGGTTGGTGAACATACGCTTTTTTTTGGTGGGTGGTCGCCAGGGTTTCATGGTGTTGACATCTCACAGCCAGTCAAACTCAAATGGTTGAATCTAAGAATCCAATGATGAAATGCAGCTACCCTGGCCTGTCACTCAAAGTTGAAAATGCTGCCACAAACCAACATATCAACTTTGCTCCAAGGTGTCCAAAAAGGCACCAGAAAGTGCTAAACATTATATTATGCTTCTAGATCCAAATAGCATCCACCTGGCACCCTGTTGTTTCTTGGCAGTTTGGTGGCTATATATACATATATATTTATTTATATCTCTCCACAGTTGTACCTAAGACATGTGTTCCATCGCACGCATGATTCCACATGCCCCATCATGCCTGGGTATGACCTTTTCAAGCATGTGCATTTGCTGTATTCAATCATTTTCCCACACTTCACATTTATATGATTGTCTCCTCGGAGACCAGGAAATAATATATGTATGTGCAGATGAGTCGTGAACAATCCGGGAACGTGGTTGACGGCAGGATCTTTTCTCTGGGATTTTCTGAGGGTTGGATGGCTAAGGAAGCACTTGCCGGCCTTTCAGTCAGCAGCGGAGCAGGACCATATCCGTAGCCGCGTTAATGGTAACAAGTCAGTGGGCCGAATCATTGCGGACCCGCGCCTACTGGGCAAATCCTCAACATTAATAAACTATTTTTTGCAAATATTCAGCACAAAAAAACTTAAATGAGTAGGCGCAAAATGGACCATGCTCATCAATTTTCCATAGCCAAGTCCTTCAAGT